CCTCACCATTCCACGAGCTCTCCCGTCCGAGATTTCCCTGGACACGACATCACCGACGTACGCGGACACCGTTTCGATTTTGAAACGGAGAGTGGTGTTGGCCTTTGTGGTTAAACACTCTAGCGGATGCGGCACCGGCTTTGTCGCGAGCAAGACTCTGCCTCTTTCGCTGTGGTCCGTTCCGTAGAAGACAGTGGCCTGCAGGCTGTCGTAGGAAATGTTGAGCTTGTGGTTAGGGTTGGACGCGACGAGCGTAACGTCCCACGTGGTGGTGAATTCCGAGGCGGACACGTTGAGGAGGGACAGAGTGGCATGTTGGAGATGGAACGTTGGGTTTACAGGATTGATTGCAAACTCCATGGCGGTGCCGCAGATGATGGTGGCTACCATGCCGACGAAGATAAGGAAGAGGATGGCGATGAATACCAACGCACATTCGAACCGAGGCTTGTCGTCGTCGTCGTCTCCATAAGCATAAGCAGCACCCATAATCTGTTTTTATTACTGTAAATTAGTGATTAGAGAGACTAGAGAGAGAGAGAGAGAGAGAGATGGGGTAAGCTTACTTTATGTAATTAATGATTGGATTTGATTAGCTTACATTATATAATATATTTGGTTTGCCTCATGCGAGTCCTATGCTATGCGGAATCCGTATTTGGTTTGATTTAGAAAAACAAAAGAGTTTTTCCTGAATTCAAATTCCAACAACTTATACTAGGTCACTCAAAATTTGTCATGTATATAATTTGTTTACTGCTGAATTTACCACTTATTTTTATCTTTAAAAATAAAATAAAAATTTAAGGAAAATTATGCAGCAATCACCAGGCTGAACGACAAAAGCCGTTCCCCACAACTTACTTCCATGGAAATCTATCACTGTCAGATTCCTCACAGACTTATTGGCTTAGTGGCCTTCGTATGAAGCCTATATTGGCATAGAGGATTCAGTTTATTACATTACCATAAACCCACCTCCTTTTAGATCCTCAATCTAACCCTACATTGGGAGAGAGAGAGACAAGATCAACCATAGCAATTATTAGGTTAGGTCTACTAAATGATGATTCTCAAGCCTCCTTTTAATGTTCAAGGTTGTGTTGAGAAATTGTAAGGTAAAGAGATATGAAAGACGAGAAAAAAAGGAAGATGAGCGACAACCTTGACAGCCGTGGGTGTGGGGGGACTTGTAGGCGAGGAAGGATTGGGGCTGCTTTTTGTTTTTTTTTTTTCCTTCCATTTTTTTTTATAAATTGAAAATGTAAAAATAAACTTTTAAACCCAGCTGGATAAAGAGTTTTAATTTTTTTATATAAAAATAAGACACATGGCAAATTTTCAACGGTTGATCCAGGCTTGATTAGTGTTAATTTATGATTAGAGAGCTTAGAGAGTAAGACCAGTGTTGGATTTGATTAGCTTACATTATTATTTGGTTCGACTACTAGTCCAATGCGGAATCCGTACTTGGTTTAATATCACATTATAAAAACAATAAAAGAGTTCTTTCTGAATTCACATTATAAAAAAACAACTTGTATATGAAACTTAAATACTAGGGCTTGTTAAGAAACTTAACTCAACCCTAATATGTTAACGGGGTCTAGGGATGGCAATGGGTCGAATCGGGGATGGGTATGCCATTACCATCCCCGTCCCCGTTAAGCATTTTTCCCCATCCCCACATTCATACCCGCAATATTCAAAGCGGGGATTCCCCATCCCCGCCTTCATTGGGGACGGGTTCCCCTACCCGCCCCATTACTAAAGAAAAATCAATAAAAAAATACTTCGTTAAACGAGAAAAAAAACACTATAAGCGCAAACATATGTATCAATTCAATTGTTATTAACTAAAAATCTAGACTATATAAAAAAATTAATACAACAACACTAGGGCAATATAATGAAATCTCTTTAATAATATATTTATATATAATAAATATATAGAGAAGATTTCATGTTATTATAGAGAGCCCTATGACGACTGATTTGATTTCCTATCAATACTATACTATATTCGCACAGTACTATCCTATATAATATAATAATAGGAAATCTCTTTAATAATATATTTATATATAATTAATAAATAAATATTTTATATATATATATATATATATATTCTTAATGGGTCGGGTTCGGGTTGGGGATTAAAATATCATCCCCGCCCCTCCCCGATCACCCAACCCCATAATTTCCCCAA